AGAAACCATTCAGAATTGCCGTATTTTTTGCATCCTTAATAGCCTCCACATCACTAGTAAACAGCGTAGTTGTATCGAAAGCGGAACGGTAATCAACACCATCTCCTCCAAAATCTTCTAAAGACACCTGCAATGTATTACATATTTAATAATTTTAAAGCATACTTATAATATAAATAATTAATTGAAACATGCAACATACAAATTTTTAATTAACATCAACTTTGTAGATAATTAAGTATAATTAATTTGTAACTCTTGACACGATAATATCTAACGTTCAACTTATAGATAATCAAGTATAATTAATTTCTAACTCCTAACACGATAATATCTAACGTCCAATTTATAACATATTAATTTCAAGTCTATAAAATAATAATTTCTAATTCCTAACACAATAACATATGACGTCAAATTTATAAGATGATCAAGTTTAATATATATAACAAATTTATTTCTAACAGCTAAGACAATAATATTTAACGTTCAATTTATACATAATAATATCAAATCTATAATATAATAATTTCTAGTTCTAACACGATAATACTATGTTACGTTCAATTTATAACAAAAATTATTTAAAATCTATAACAAAATGATTTTTAATAATTTTATTTATAAAAAAAAATATATATGTCCGGCCGGTCGGACCGCACGGACCGGGTTCCGTGCGGTCGTCGCGACCGGACATCAAGCCGGCCGTGCGGCCGGTCTGTTAGTACTAGGACCGGTTCGTACGGCCCCAAAAGACGTGCGCGGGCGGTCACGTCCGGCCGAACCGGCCGTACGCCCTACGGGCCGTCCGGTTTTTTCGGCTTGACACGACCGGTCCCGTGAGACTTTCCCGTCCGGACAGAAAAAAAATTACCTCTGAGCTGCTTCACATGGTGCGAATGAAAAGGGCAAAATCGTCCAAGGGGGGCGGTGACTAGTAATAAGGGGGGCGGTAAATAGTAATGCCCTTTTGTATTTCAGCTAGCTTATCAGCTAATTTTATCAACACTTTTAACATATAAGTTAGTTTTTCACTATAAGTCATGAGCTATAAGTTATAAACTCGAAAATACATATAGGCTGTGTTTGGTAAACCTAACTGATAAGCTAGTTGATAGCTGATAAGCTATAAGCTAGTTGGTAGCTGATAGCTTATAGCTGAAAAGTAGGGGTGGGCAAAAGAACCGGATTTTCCGATCCCGGACCGAACCGAAATGGTCTCGTTCCAAACACATAGGGTCCCAAATCGGTTTATAAATTTTCGTACCATTCCCAGTACTGAACCGGTTGAAACAATGTCGGTATCGGTTTTCAATATTTTTTTTCCCGAATTGTCCCGTTTGTTCCGTTTTTTTTTTGTACAAAAATATTATATATATATACATATTATACATTATTTATATTTATATTAGTATTATATTGTACAAAAATATGGCACTTGCAGTTGGTGTTTCTAACTTGTATCAATTAAGTCTTAAACTCTTAACATGTTTTGTATTTTATTAAACATGAAAGCCGAATACAGTTTCAAACTTTCTGTCTCAATGCTTAATTGCAAGCTTGTATTTACCCTTTGAATGGAATTAGTTAATTTTGAAGTATGTACCCTTTGATTTTGAATGGAAACAGACTATCAGTAGCTTTATTTTTTTGAATACTTGATTGCAACTTAATTAGTTGGTATAGAATTAAAGTTTCATTTTAAGTGAAACAGTGAATAGTTTGAGT